GCACAGGGAGAAGCACCGAGGAATACACACGCATTGGGAAAAATGTGCAACTTATATAGCAGAATATGAAGAGCAGCAACCAGAGCATAGTTAATTTCTAACAGACGCTCGGAAAAAGGCCGAGCTCCTGACATTTGTAGATCTCGAAATGCTCAAGACAAGTTTCAGATAGTCCACCAGGGCACCAACCTCGAAAGTCCATCATTAGAGTAGGACTTGAGAGAACAATAAGATGCAAAAGTTGAGTAATGCGTATGTTTGGTGAAAAGCACACGAAACTCGTGAGAATATCTGACTGAAATGAGATACTACATATGAACATGACAACGGGTAAAGCGCATAAAAGAGAAGATCGCATAGTATGAGAGAGACGTCTGTGAGGTAGAAGAAGAACAAATGCTTGTTCCCCCTGCCTATATACCGTCTTAGTGCTACCACTCGAGTAATCATGGATAACAGAATATGATATATTAACTGTAAATTAATAAGAAAGAAGATAAAAACTATATTGAATATTTGTGAGATCAAGACACGTATATCTATTTTGTCATGTCTTTGGTGCAGCCTTTGTAATCGAAGTATTCTAACTTGCTATAAGCTTATCAAGTGCAGCTCCTAATGCTGAGTTATTTGGAACAGCCGAGGCGATGACTCCAATAAATATACTTGCGTTCATGTGATAGCCAGCGTTTAGCTGCGACCATTTTATGAGCTTAGGATGCATTTGAAATATAGGATATGATTTTTTCTTTTTATTTCCGCGCATGTAAATGATCTTTTTAGTTGCAGAACAAATACTGCAGTTATCGTTATGAATGCCTTTTTTTTTTCTTGATTTCTTTAAGGGGCATGAGACACGACTTTTACGGCATATGGTGAAACAGTCATAAGCAAATTGGAAAAGGAAGAGAGAGATAGAGAGAGAGAGAGAGGATTTTAAAAATGATTTTATATATGGCGCCTATTTTGATTATCTTTTTTCTACCAAAGGCATTTTATGCTTATATTTTTCAACAGAAATGCATTAGATATAATTGTAGAGCGTCCTGTATCTAGTGGACGAAGAAATATACCATGTCCATGCCTTATATATTCCTTTTTAAAAGAATAATGAAAACAATTTCTTAGCGAATGCGTCTCAATCCCTTTCTCGATTTTGTATGTTGTGAATACAGCGCATATATATAATAGTTTGAACAAGTAATCTGCCTTTATTAGCCATAAAGGGAGACAACTTTCGAAGACATGCCTCTGTAAAGCCGAGAAAAAATATATCTCGCTCCTGTAATCGGAAGATGTGTGTAAACACAGACAGACAGAGAAAGAAACAGAAGAGATATAATGAGAAAGTGGGAGAAAAGGAGAGAGACAGATAGACAGACATAGAAAGAGACAGAAGAAAAATTGTGAAAAAAATGGGAGAAAAGGAGAGAGAGAGAGAGAGAGAGAGAGAGAGAGAGAGAGAGAGAGAGAGAGAGAGAGAGAGAGAGAGAGAGAGAGAGAGAGAGAGAGAGAGAAAGAGACAGAAGAGAAATAGCGATAAAGTGGGAGAAAAGGAGAGAGATAGAGGGAGAGAGAAGTAGGAGCATAGAAAGATAGAGATTTATAGGGAGCAGAGAAAGAGGGAGAGAGCGAGTGGAAAGCAGAGAGAGAGAGGGGGGGGGAAAGAGAGAGAAAGGGGGGGGGATGGAGGGGGAAGTAGAAAGGGGATCGGAGAGAGAGAGAGGGTGGAGGGGGGAAGTAGAGAAGGGATCTGAGAGAGAGAGAGAGAGAGAGAGAGAGAGAGAGAGAGAGAGAGAGAGAGAGAGAGAGAGAGAGAGAGAGAGAGAGAGAGTAATTGCCCGTGCTGTGGGAAATGAGACTGTACATAGTTTTTTTCGTAACGCATTCTACGTCTAACAGCGCATTCACCAGCCAATCGGAGTTTATGAAGAATAACGACATCAGTCCTACGCGTTTGGAGATTGTAATCTACCAAAGATGCCCATAAACACACATATACACACTCACACATATATGTGTGTGTGTGTGTTTGTGTGTGCCTATGTGAGTGTATGTGTTTGTTTGTGTGTGTGCATGTGTGTCTGTGTGTGCTTTTGTATGTATGTGTATGTGTGTGTGTATTTGTAATGTGTGTAATGTGTGTTTGTGTGTGTATGTTATATTTCTAGATTATCTTAATGAGAAAAGAAATGCCATGCACGCAGACACACATATATATATATATATATATATATATATATATATATATATATATATATATATATATATATATATATATATATTATATATATATATATATATATAATATATATAATTATATATATATATATATATATATATATATTATATATATGAGAGAGAGAGAGAGAGAGAGAGAGAGAGACCTTAAGTATATAAGTATGCATATATGTGTGTAAATATATATATATATATATATATATATATATATATATATATATATATATATATATATATACATATATATTTACATACATATAGTGTATGTGTGTCTGTGTGTTTACATGCATACCTACACTTATATAGTTGAATGGTTATGGAGAATGAATATACTGTATGCTGCTTATGACACTTTTATTGTAAAATTGATTATTCAGAAGACCAGGAACTCTGAGTTTCTCTCTTAGCCTTTCTCTCACTAGCAGGAAGCAACTCTTATCTCTAATTCTGTATATTAAACGCATAAGGTGAAAAAGTAACAGAGAGAGAGAGAGAGAGAGAGAGAGAGAGAGAGAGAGAGAGAGAGAGAGAGAGAGAGAGAGAGAGAGAGAGAGAGATTTTCCAGTAAAATTGCTGCTCTTCAGGACAGTTTGCAAGTCCTGGAAAATGCAAGGAAAGATTCCAGTCATCAATTCAATCCGAATGAACGCAAATGGGTCATGGCACAGCATTAGAGCTGCACTTAGTAACTTAGCAAGTAATGAAAGCGACAAGACTGCAAATATATTGATAATATTTTTTTTTCCTTCTTATTAATGTTACAGTTAATATCAGTGATTTAGTCCCTGTGGGTTACCAGCAGAGTCAATGACCTTTAGGCTTTACGTTGTTCATGTTCATATAAGTATCTCATTTCATCAGGTCAGTCTTCTGCAACAACATCCGCTACAGGTCTCAGCTCTCCATGATGGAGAGGCTGGTGCTGGCTCTGAAACTGTTGTTGACCTAAAGCCGATGGTTCAGCTGTAGAAATTAATGCTGATGCCCTCATTTCGAAGGTGATGCAATGGGACTGGGTTGCTAGCAGGAAGGACAGCTTAGAGAAAAGTTTGTCTCATGATCAAGTTTACAGTTAACATATTTCCTATGCATATCATATCTCGCGTGAGGACCTGCACGTCGCCCTCCATGCCGTCGAGTAAGGCGGCGACCAGATGCCTGTACTCCTTGTTCTCGGCCTCCTGTGCGGACATGTCGAGGGCGAGGGAGAGGAGGTCGTCGTCGTCCATGCGGAGACCCTTCTTGAGGTCGTCTTCGTCGTCTTCGTCGTCCCTGGTCTCCTGGACTCCCCTCTGGGAAGGACGTCTTTCCATTAGCCACGGTTAACTTCACATGCACTAACCAACACACGCACATGTGCGCACATTTACACGCACAGGCACACACATACACACACATGCATACACAAAACATTAAAAAAGAAGCAGAAAACGCGTAACGCCCCGAGAAAGTCGAGCATAGCTGGCGGTGGTTTTAAAGTACGGCCCTATGACTTAGCCATGAAGTAGTATTGATGGTGCCTATAAGCTGTGACGTCCGAGTCGGTTGATGATAGACAACAGAAATAACAGGATAATTGTTTATTTATCATATAGATATAATATATATATATATATATATATATATATATATATATATGTATATATATGTATATATGTATACTACCTTTAATACATCACATGATATTTTTGAATAAGCTTGCTTTGGATTGTGAACTCCACAGTAATGACAACGAATATATAAAACGGTTTTTGTAGGATATATATATATATATATATATATATATATATATATATATATATATATATATATATATAGGTTGGAAGGTTGCTAATAAAATGGAACGCTTGTCGAGAGAAAATACTTTTGAGTTTACCTCAGAGGTATTTGATATAACCGGTTTTTAGCACTGATATTAATGACGTCACAGTTCAAATTAAAAACACAAGAGCATAGCTATGCAAATGAATTTTAAGAAGTCTGTGGTCAAAAACGAGATTACTATGGGATTCTATACTCACGAAAACAAACTTCCACATAAAATAAGTCGTGATATAATTTTTGAGCGAATCACGATCGACCAATCTCACCCAATCACAGCGCACCAGCTTATCACGAGTCGGTTTCCTCGACACCTCGATCTATTTGGCGCTCTCTTACTGCATACCACGTCAGCTGTCATTCTGGTATGAGTGAACCCCGCAAACCAGATCGCTTGCCTGTGGTACCCAGTATTCGGGGGCATTCGATATCGCTTCACAGTGAGTACTGGAGTCGGCTGTTTCGTAGCGTGCAATAACAGTGCTTGTTTTAGAGAAGAGAAGACTTTTGCTGCCCGCCATAACACATTCTGGCAAGGAAATCAATCGACTAATGGCTTATAGGACACAAATAGGGCCATACTTTGAAGCGGTGGACCAGTTTCGTAATTTAACCACCCTAGATTCGAACGCCTGTCGTTCCGACATCCCGAACCGGCGTTATATTATTGGAACTTGAGTGGCGGTGGAGCGCCAGCACTAATGTGTCTTTTACGAAGGTATTCGACAGTTTTCTTCTTTACTGTTCAGCCTACACTCAGAGGTTATCTATTTCATGATAGGTACAACGACACAGAAAATTTGGATAGTATTTGTATGATCATTTAGCAACTATTTTAAAATCGAAATATTTTGAGAAGACTTTACTGTATGTATATATCTGTCCAAGATTCCTCACCTCACGTAGGTCCCCTTATTCGCCGTTATTTCTTAAAAAAATTAATGAATATGAAACCACCGTATTTAGCACATCCATTAACACGCATTCCATGACTTGAACAAGATGGTAACATGCACAAATAACGAATATTTCGCATTTTGCTAGTCTGGGCGCAGCCGAAATATTGCTTAGCTTATGGCATGTGTGTCTGTGTTTGTTTGTTTGTGTGTATGTGTATGTGTGTGTGTGCGCGCGCGTGTGTGTGTTTGTATGAGTATATATGTGTGTGTGTGTGTGTTTGTGTGCGTGCGTGTGTGTGTTTGTATGCGTATATATATGTGTGTGTGCACACACACACACATACACAAACACACACACATATATATATACATATATATATATATATATATATATGTGTGCATATACATATATATAATGTACATATAGATATGTGTGTGTGTTTGTGTATGCACACACACACACACACACACACACACATATATACATATATATACATATATATATATATATATATATATATATATATATATATATATATGTGCGTATGTGCATACACACAGCTTTGATATTACTTTCAACTATTATAGGTGTTGGCTGTAGCTGGACTGTAATTAAAATTAGTAGATAGTCTTGAATTATCTCAGGAGTTTGTCAATGAATGTATCAAAAGTAACATTGCTGTAAGATGTAAGCATTTTCCAACGATAGGTCTGGCCCCTGAAAGCTGAACCCTGCAAACAATGTCAAAAATGTCAGGGTATTTCTAATTTTCCTGGTGTAATTTGGTATTATAATACGATGTGCATGTGTTCCTTTTCTAGAACTATGATATATGGTGCTTGTCCACGACCTCTGTAAAACAGCAGATTTTTGGCAAACATTGATTGCTATACACAATTAGAGCAAACTCAGTTCATGGAATATTTGCTTGAAAATTTAGAAAACTTGAAAATGTATATACATTACGCCCTCATATCCCATTACTACTGTAAGCAACCCATTAAGCAACTAAGACATGACGCATTTCATTTAGGAAACATGAATTTGATAAATATGTCATTTGATATGTGCCAGGGAAGATTGATTTGCGGATATTTTCACATAGAACAGGGATATTATTCTTACAAAGGAACAAGTAAACAGTAATGCTATTAATAATCAAAATTACAATGGGAATGAAATACATGGAAAAATTAGCAGGTGAGAAGGGTTAAGGGAAAAAAAAACACATAAATACTGTGCTCATAAATATTGTGTATGCGTATATGCACGCTTACATATGTTAGAGAGATTGTGTGCATGTGTGACAGTATCAATGTGTATGTGCGTGACTCATTATTTTGGTTAGTCAACAAACTTTTTTTTAGCTTTTTATAAGTTTAGTTGTACATTAAGAAATGATTAATTGGTATTTAAAGTGACAGCCAATCTGAAAATGTCAACACAATCAAATTTCGAGCTAATATTATGTTTTGATTCGCTTGATAGTAGCGGTCATTGTCGAAGATAGCACCTTCCGTGGCGGCCGAGCGGCAGCAGAGACGCTGGCTGTCCATTGCGCTTGCTTGTCTTTTGGGTGAGGATTCGAGCCCTCGTGAGCGCCAAACCGCGGGCGCCTCCGTTCGAACGTTTTTAAAGTACGGCCCATAGTGTTCGTACTGTTGTTTTTCCTTTGTCTTGATCGGCATTCTCCTGGTTACACTTCCTCTTCATTGCCCTCGTCATCGTTATCATGATTATTATGTCATCATTATTACCATTACCCCTATGGCCATTATCCTCCTCCTCCCAGTTATTGTCGTTATTATTACCATTATCATTAAAATTGCCGTCATCATCATTATTACCACTACTAGTACCATCATCAGCACCATCATCATCAGCAGCAGGAACACCATCGCCATCACCACTCTGTCCTCCCCTCTTCTCTCTCACACTCTCCTTCCCTCCCCCTCCCTCCTTTAGATATATTTACATTTCCCTCACATATTCCGTTTCCATCTCCTATGTCATGGTTTGCCGAGGAAGTGTTAACATTAAATACCCAAAATGTCGATTATTGCTAATTCATCATGATCACCAGCACAGGAATGACGGCTTCTCGATCTATATTTGCTGTGATGTGTTTTTAGCGCCGAGGGATTCCTCGAATGCTGTGGTTACTCCCCTCCTGCATTGCTGCGTTCGGAATCCCTTATCTTGCTCGTCCGGGTAAGCTGTCAGGACGAGCAAGACAACGAGGTCGCGGTCGGAAGCCTCTGAGGCCTTCATTACCCACAATGCATCCAGCTGTGAAGTTAACATTCGCTGTTTTTTATGCGTGTTTATTTTAGAGTATATAGGCTTATAATTACTCTGATGCACAGGCAACTAATTTTCGGAAGACAAGAACTGAAATAACCCTTGATAACTTCAATTACCATAATCTTCTGATTGCCCACAACTGTCAGTGTTTATATGCACAAATGCGAGTGACGTCATCTCGTCTTGTTCGCCTGGCCGCAAAGAGGGCGAGGAGGACATGAGGAACAACTTGTACCGGACGCCAAGCAGGGGCTTCCGAGCCGTCGAAACATCTTGTCAAACGTGTTGGAGAAAAGGATTCGAAGGCAAATTAGACATCGTACAGGGACTCCTCTCTCCTTTTCTCTTTCTCTCTGTATATCATTATCTACCTTCCTCTCTTCCTCCTTGTCTCTAATTTTGCCTTGCTTCTTTCGCTCTACATTGTCGACATCGAAAAAAAGAAGAGGTAAAAAAGGCATAATACGTCATATATATATTTATTTACATTCATTATTTACCTTATTATTTTTATTATAGATGTCAGTGGCCTTACAAATCACTGAAGTTGTCTTGACTGTGATAATGAAAGTGCCCGACATTATCAGAGTCTTCAAGGAGCTTGGCAACGGGAAGGTGAAACAGGAACACGAGAATCTTGCACAGGTCAGTGGAATAAAAGGAAAGGAAGATGCAAGGGAGGGAGAAGGGAAGGGAAAGAGAGGGATTGAGGGAAAGAGGGTAAGAGAGAGTAGGGGGGGGGGGAGGGAAAGGGGTAAGAGAGCGAGATAAGGGGAAGAGAACAAGAGAAGGGAGGGAAGAGAGATATAGAGGGGGTGGAGAAAGAGAGAGGGGGGAAGAGAGAGAAAGAAAGAGAGAGGGGGAAGAGAGAGAGAGAGAGAGGGGGGGGTGAGAGAATGAGAGGAGAAGAAAGAGAGAGAGGGGGGAAGTAAAATTAGAGGAGGGGAAGAAAGATTAAGGGAGCGGAACAGAGAGAGGAATATGAAGAGAGAGGAGGGGGAGAGGAGGAGGGGAAGAAATAGATAGATAGAGAGAGAGGGGGGTGCAAGAGAGAAAGGGGGTGAAAGAGAAAAGGGAGGGGAAGAGAGAGAAAAAGACGGCAAGAAAAAGGGGAATATAGAGGGGAGGGGATATGTATGTGTGTTGTGTATGTATATATACACATACGTATATATGCACATATGAATACACACGAATATACATATCTATAATTGTGTAAATGTAATTATACATCTAACAGAGTGTGCTTCACTTAACAGGAACTCTGTGCCCTTCGCAAGGAACATGAGAGGGCGTCAAAGACCATTGACGCCCTAGTTGAGGTGAGACAATAATAATTCCTATCAATGATGGTCAAAGGTTATATTCACAGAGAGTTCATGTACTTGCATGATGAATCTGTTGTTCTTAAGGACATATGTAAAAGGAACACACCTTTCCCCATTTTCTTTTTGCGTATATTTATATTTTGTTCTGTATCGCCTCCTCCTTCTCCTCCTTTATATTTTCTTCTTCGTCTTCATTTCTTGTCCTTTTTCTCCGCCTTCTCTTCTACCTCTCCCTCTTCTTATTCTTCCTTTTCCTTATCATCCTCGTCTTCGTCTTCGTCGTCCTCTCCCTCTGCCTCCTCCTCCTCCTCGGCCTTCGTTCCTCTACTTTCAGTTCCTCCTTCACTAGCATGAGCTGCAGACATTTCTCCTTTAAACTTCACCTTAAGAAATAGCTGCGAATGCATTCTCTTATCACTAAATCTACCTTCGTTGTTTTGCAGAGCCAAGAACAATTGAACCAAACACTCCAGCTGCTGACAGAACTGCTGATAGTGCTAAACAGCCTGTCTTCAAGGCCTTGGCCAGATCTGCAAGAGAGCATTCGCGACGTTTTGGGTCAAGGAGGCCTCCGCCAGGACTCTGGCGTCCGTGTGAACGAGGCGAGGAGGCGTTTTCTGTGTCTCTTTGTTCCTATAGTTCCTTCCTTTTTTTCTTTTCTTTTTTTTTTTTTGCGTTGGTTCATAGGTATGGATATACATTATATGTAATAAAACAAGTACAGTTCAAGAAACAAACAGGCACATGTAATGTATGTAATACATGCACATTAATAGAAACTTTTTTCGAGTTTTTTTTTATTTATCAGATCAGCATTATTAGGACAGTTCTGAAGACCATGTAATGAACATTTAGAAACATTTACAGCAGCCTCCATATGGTTTGCATCTTTGCAGGTAAATAAAAGTAGCAATAGCATGGTTGTACGTAATGTTTTTTTTTTTTTATTATTGGAAAAAAGTCAATGCAGATGGCGGAGAGATAAATCTGTAACGATATGCAAATATCTCCTTTAATCTTTTTTGGGAGGCATTCGTCGCTTGAAAAACAGAATTTGAATAGTACACTTACTCTATCGTTTTATCTTTGGCATATTTTTTCTCACAAAAGGAAGAAATACAACAAAAATGTCTTTTTCAGTGCTTCTGAAGAGAATGAATTCCCACTACTGTAACTGTCCTGAGCCATCGACGGCCTATACTTATGTTTCTTTCCTTTTAGGTACTAATGAAGAATTATAAACTTCAAATTGCTATTTGATAAAAAAAGTATTCAACATTAAAGCAGTAGAAAACTAAAATCCTTAGAACTCAGTAATGCCATGACAGTTAGTTTTACAACCCTTCACGACCAGCTCATTCAATGGCGTAGATAAGATAATGTCCGGACTTCTTACCGCGAAACAGCAAAAAAGTGTTAGTTACTAATCCAACCGCCTGTCGCCTGCCTGCCTCACCTTCAGTCCGAAGCGCCTTCTTTATTGGCATAATAATCCTATAAAAGAGACTTTTAAGACCATTTTGACCTTGTCCTGCATCGAGCCATATGGGAAAATGCTTTTCACAAGCTCATGACATCGAAAGTCACGACAGTATGTCCCTCCATTATACTGTAATGACTGAGAATGTACTGTCGCTGTCAACCACTCTCTAGTCGTGAACCAACATGAATGTCCTTTCGTTAATGGAGAACTGCCAGTATAAAGTTCACGGCATGTATTAAAAGACCCTCGCCTGAAACGCACAAAATCAGACGAAATATGAGGCGACTTAAGGCGCTCTGATAACTGCATGCGAGCTCCACCCGACAGAGGCAAGGGCCATCAACGATCGTCGACTCCGCCTCAAGGGCCTCGCCCCTTTGGGCTCATCCTTAATACGGCGCGGTCGCATTGAGGATGAGCCGAGGTCGGGCACGTCCGTAGCTTCCCACCTTTTGGAAACGCACGAAGATCACCCCAGAGGCCCGTCTTGCGGAGACTCCTTTCGGCTGCAGTTCCCCCTGGCAGATTGACCTGCCTGTGGCGCCCAGCCAGTCTACCGCGTTAATAGGCGAACCGCGTCATGTTTAGACTGGCAGCGCTATAGATACACACATTATCCCAGCCGGTTCAGTTGCGACGTTTGCTTGGTGACGCCACGTTCACGATGGTCTCGTGGGCCCGAGCAAACAGGTCCTGCCCCCAGTTAATTTTCAGAAACTAATATACAGGACACCGTGTTTTGCAGGCTCCCTCAGGGCTAACCTGTGCAGTCTGCAGGTCGACCTACAACGCGCACGATCGTCGTCCGCTTATCTTCTCCAGCTGCGGCCACACCTTCTGCGAGGAATGCCTTAGTAAGGTTTCTGTTGTTTGTCTTTCTGTGAAATCTGTGTTTGGCTTAATGTTTGGTTTCTTTCCTGGTTTGTGCTTCTTTGTTTTATTTTTATTTATTTATTTATTTATTTTTTTTTGTTTGGCGTTGCGTTGTGTCTTTGTTTTCAGTGTCTTGGTGCCTCGTTTTTTTGTTTGTTTTATTTCTGCAATAATCAATATGTTGCTGTAAGAGAAGATACAACGGGTGACAGGGTAAAATATATACATATGTGTGTGTTTGTATGTGAAATAACGTTTGAATAAATGAATAAGTAGATGAATAAATATATACATACGTAGATAGAATAGATAAGAATATCTTAGAAATAATAAATTAGAAAAATGTAGATAAATAAGTGAAATGAATAGATACATTTAGAGAAGGCTTAATGAGTAAAAAGAAAGGCAATGAAAATCTTTCCTTCAAGGGACGGAGAACCGCAAGAGTGTGTTCCGGTGCCCTTCTTGCCGGCAGGACCGCGACCAGTTCTGGACGCTGAAGCCTAACTTCGCGCTGCTCGACCTGCTCGAAGCGGTACGTGATATTCTTCTTTTTTTAATGTATGATTTGTGCGTGTATGTATGTGTGTTTGTGCGTGTGTGTGTATGTATGTGTGTGTGCGTGCGTGTGTGTGTATGTGTGTTCGTGTGTGCTCATGTGCGTGTGTTGGTTAGTGCATGTGAAATTAACCGTGGCTAATGGAAAGAGGTCCTTCCCAGAGGAGAGTCCAGGAGACCAGGGATGACGAAGACGACGAAGACGACCTCAAGAAGGGTCTCCGCATGGACGACGACGACCTGCTCTCCCTCGCCCTCCACATGTCCGCACAGGAGGCCGAGAACAAGGAGTACAGGCGTCAGGTCGCCGCCTTACTCGCGCGAGAGCCCGCTGGGGCCGGCGACGTCCCCGGAGCGGAGGGCGGCTGGCAGGAGGAGGCAGAGGGGCGTCCGGGGAAGGAGGAAGCTTACTGCCATGAGGAACTTGAAGGTCTTGATGGGAAAAAGCTCCGCCTTGAGAAGGAGGAGGCTGAAGGAGAGAGGAAAAC